CGTCCCAGCACAGAGGAGGGGGCGGGCACACGGAGGGGTGTGCCAGCACTGAGCCCATCCCCACACCGGGTCTCCAGAAGTCCTGGCCTCTTGTGAGAAAATCCCCCAGCCAAGGGGGAGATGAAGCTCAGCCCTAGGAGATCCCTGCCCAATGTCTAGGGTCACGATGAAAACTTGTCCCACACATCCTTTCCCTGTCCTCAGCCACTGCAGGCTCTGTGTCCTCATGGTCCAGGGGAAAGAGCAGACCTGCCTCTGTCCCTTACTACCTGTGTGACCCTGAGCAAGTCACTTACATTCCCTGTGCCTCAGTTTCCCCTGATGTTAAATGAAGGGGCTGGACTGGAGGACCCTGGAGGTCCCTTCCGGCTCTAACGCTCTGATCCCATGCTTGCCAGGAACTACACTCACGCCTGTCAGAAGAGATCGGCCGACTGAGAAGCTTCATCGCCTCCCAGGCCTCTAGTGAAGGCTTAGGACGCAACAATGAGAGGAGCTCCTGTGAACTGGAGGTGAGAGACGCCCCCCCACCCCCCAGCTGCTTCAGTGAGGGGAGAGAGCCCTGGGTCCCAGGCTGATTTTGGAGAAAAGACAATCAATAACACTTTTGTTCAGTACGCATTTATTAAACACTTACTGTATATGGTATGACCTTGGGCAAGTAATTTCATTTCCTTAGCCTCAGTTTGTTCATCTGTAAAAGAAGGGGTTTGACTAGAAGACTGCGGAGGGCTCTTCCGTCTTTAAACCCAACAATCCTGGTAATCACATACTGCTTTGCTTGGGTGACCCTGGAGCCTCCCAGATGTGTTTACTCCCTTCCTTTGTGGGTCTGGACAGCGTCCTATCAGGGTTTCCTGAAATTGATTGAGAAATCCAATCAACATGTGCTTATCCTAATTATTAGTAGTGAATGTTAAAATAATAATAACCACTGGCATTCGTCCAGCACTTTAAATGGGATTGAATTCCTGCCTCAATTTACCTTTGTGGCCGTGGGCACCTTTACCTTTCGGGGCCCCAGTTTACTTGGATTAGATGGCCACCGAGGGCCCTTCCAGCTCCAGACCTGAACACGGGGGCCTTTGTGTGCATGAAATTCTGTCATCGCCCCTGTTTTTAACAGAAGTGACGTGCCTTGGCTCACACGTAGTCAAGAAAGGAGGCACAGTTAGGGAAAAAGAGGCAGGGACCTTCAGGATTAAGCAACAAGCATTTATTAGGCACCTACTGTATGCCAGGCACTGAGCTAGATGCTGGAGACCCAAAGACACAGAATAACACAATCCCTACTCAAAAATCACCTGGAATCACCAGCTGGGGAATTGTTCCTGGGCCGCCAAAGGGCTTACAGGAACACCTTGGGGAAACAGGGTGTCATCATGCTCGGAGCAGCTGACATTGCTCTAGTACCTGCATTACGTACCTGGGAGCCCAGCTGCAGAGCTGGGGGGGCCCACAGAGGCCCGGGGAGGTCACAGGATCCTTGATCTGGACCTGGAAGGGACCTGGGGGGGTGGGGGGAATCTGGACCAACCCATCATCGTCATCATCATTATTGGTGGTGATAGCTAGCATTTACAGATTGATTTCAGGTTTGCAAATACTATCTCATTTGATCCTCACAACAACGCTAGAAGAGAGGTACTGTCATTATTTTACACAGTAGGAAACTGAGGCAGAGGCAAAGACATTGGTCCAGGGTCATGCCACTAGTTAGTGTCTGAGGCAGGATTCAAACTGTGGCCATGCTGACCTACAAATTAAAACATAACAAGGAGAAAGGGAGAGGGAGAGAGACAATGAGAGAAAGAGAGTATGAGAATATTATTAGGTCTTCAATCAGTCGGCATAGTTTGCCAGAACAGGGCCTCACCCTTAAGTGGATCCCTAGGAAGTAGCCTTGGCCTCGAACCCTGGCTTTGGGGTCAGAGAACCAGGGCTTGAGCTACTGATCCGGCATGTATGAAGCTCAGAGTCTGGTGGGACGGATAGCATGTAAGCAGGGCAGTGTATGTAAACAGAGGAGAAAATGCAGCGCAGAAGGAAGGCAGAGTCCCCATCCTGTCATCTGAGTGACATTTAGCAAATCCCTCCCTTCTCTAAGCTTCAGTTTCCTCATCTGTAAAACCAGATGGGGGTTGGGCCAGCCCCTTCTGGCTCTAAATCTTGGGGTCCTGTGAGTCAGAGAAGGGGGAGATGGGGGGTGACGACCTGCCCCGTGGTGGTGTCGAGGATTTTGCCAGGTCAAGTATTGAAGGCATCTGGGTGGGCTTTCAGGAGGAGTGAGGTGTGAATGAGCATCCTCCCAGGTGTAGTAGTGACTATGGAGAGACCTGGGTTTGAATCCCACTTCCACTATGTGATCTCAGGTAAATTTCTTTACCCTCAAGCCTCAGTTTCTAATCTATAAAATGGCAGAGTAACTTTTTTTTTGAGAAATACATTTTATTCATGACTTTTTGTCCTTACAGCAGTCATTTTGGGGAGGGGGGCAGGGGAAGGCAGGAGATAAGCCTTTCCCTCCTCCTGGTCAAACTCGCCTTTGTAACAGCAAAAAACAATTAGGGGTAAATGGAATCATAATACTTTTCACCGTCTACTTCACAGGTTTGTTGTAAGGAAAAATCATTTTGCAAACCTGCAAGTGTGATTAAAATGTCTTGGCATTCATAGACCTGCAACAAAACTGTGATGGGGAGGGGAGGGATGAGTATGGGGGGAATGCTTAGAGCCGTGCTGCAGGGCACCGCCAGAGATGCGTGTGTTGGCTGAGGGGCATC